TCACAGCAATAGATTAATAAATCGGGTGCAATCAAAATATCACGTTTTACAGCTTTAAACCTGGAGTGAACATTTTGTATTTTTTTGTTTATCTCCTGCATCTTTAGTAAACTAAAGTCTCTTTTAAAAGATGTAAATTTAGTTAATGTAATTTACCTTAAGCTGGCGGGTGTAGTGATGTGCAGTGTTGGTGGGTGTCCTTCATGTGTCCCCCACGCCGGTGTTAGAGCGGGCCTCTCCTCCACGTGTCCCCCAAGGCTTTTAGTAGAGTGGGCCTCTCCTCGTGTCCCCCAAGGCAGTGTAGAGTGGGCCTCATGTCCCCCAAGGCAGTGTAGAGCTTTGGGCTTTGTCCCCCAAGGCAGTGTAGAGGGCCCGGGGGCGGGCTCCTTGTGTCCCCCAAGGTGGTGTAGAGCGGGCCTCATGTCCCCCAAGGTAGAGTGGTAGAGCGGGCCTCATGTCCCCCAAGTCGGTGTAGAGCGGGCCATGTCCCCCAAGGTGGTGTAGAGTGGGCTCGTGTCCCCCAAGGTGGAGCAGGTGTAGAGCGGGCCTCGTGTCCCCAAGGTGGTGTAGAGCGGGCCCCCAAGGTGGTGAGAGCAGGCCTCGTGTCCCCCAAGGCAGTGGGTAGAGCGGGCCTCGTGTCCCCAAGGTGGTATAGAGCGGGCCTTGTGTCCCCCAAGGCGGTGGAGAGCGGGCCTCGTGTCCCCCAAGGTGGTGGAGAGCGGGCCTCGTGTCCTTAAGGCGGTGGAGAGTGGGCCTCATGGCCCCCAAGGCAGTGGAGAGCGGGCCTCGTGTCCCCAAACGTGGTGGAGAGTGGGCCTCGTGTCCCCCAAGGCAGTGCAGAGCGGGCCCTCTCCTCGTGTCCCCCATGGCGGGGGAGAGCGGACCTCTCCTCGAGTCCCCTGTGGTGGTGGAGAGCAGGTGTCTCCTCTCAGTGGAGGAGAGCAGACCTCTCCTGCACCTGTCCCCTCAGCGGCGCTGCCAGTGTAATGGCGGTGCTGAAGAAGAAGTCGGAACCGGAAGTTGGGAACTCGGCTTCACAATGAGGCTTGGAGCTCCATCTGTGCTCGCCACACAAGGATTTCCCTTCGTATTTGGCGAGCGGCGGGCGAGCGGCTTTTTCAAGCCCTGCTTTAAAGAATAATTTTACATTTTCTTTACCAAAAATTGATTTCAGAGGGAATCTGTTTTAATGTATTTTCTATATGTAATAAAATATCTTTGTTAAAGCGTTGGTTCCATAAGAGCTAGAATTATATTTTCTTCCTTATTTGTGTTATATTTGAGTTTCCCTGGTAGCCGTGTAAGGCAGATATTTTACAGGAGTGATTATTCAGGCTGTTCACACCAATGCACGTTTTTTAGTACTTTTTGTTTTCAGAAACACACTCCAGTCCATTAAATATGGTTTCCTATGGGACACATTCACATCTAGGCTTTTTTGAGCTGCTGTGTTTTTGGAAAGGGTCAGGGACTTTTTAAAAAGCAAAATGAAGCATTTTTGCTACAACAGAGTTCAATGGAGAATTTGCTGAAATGCATGGGTTTGTGCATTTTTATTCTGCCCAGCAAATAAAAAAATTCGACTTTGGAAAAAAAAAAAAAAACTGAAAAAAACACAAAATGCACCACAAAGGTATCACAAACGTATCAACATGCAAGTGTACAATCCAAACGCATTGTTCCTGCATAAAAAATGGTTCGGTTGGAACCAAACAGAATCAGCGAGGGAGAATGTCACCAGCACACCGAGGATCACCAATATGGGGCCAAAAGTTTTAATGAACGATCACATAGTTACAGCAAGGCAATGTTTTGGAGACTCGCAGGACTCCTCCGTCACATGCCTGATGAAGGGGTCCTGCGAGACTCCGAAACATTGCTTGCTGTAACTATGTGATCGTTTATTAAAACGTTTGGACCCATATTGGTGATCCTCGGTGTGCTGGTGACATTCTCCCTTACAAACATATCAAAAACACATAAAAAATGCAAAATGAACTGCAAAAAAGCATGCAAAGATGTGAACAGAGCCTTACAGATGTTTCTCGGGGCTGCAGTTCCTCTGAGCTCCTCAAGGTGGTGATCTCACTTCTACCCAGACAGGAAGTCTCTATGGAAGACAGACAGGAAGTGATGTCAGGTACAGACAGGAAGTGATGTCAGGCAGGAAGTGAGTCAGGCAGGAAGTTCCAAGTGGTTTTGAAGTAGAGAAGAGACGTTACCAGAAGTGGCAGCAGAGGAGGTAATAAGACATTATTTTCTATTTACACCCAGTAAACCCCCATCATGTCCGTCCTCTTCCTCCATAGTCACGTCCGTCCTCTTCCTCCATAGTCACGTCCGTCCTCTTCCTCCATAGTCACGTCCGTCCTCTTCCTCCATAGTCACGTCCGTCCTCTTCCTCCATAGTCACGTCCGTCCTCTTCCTCCATAGTCACGTCCGTCCTCTTCCTCCATAGTCATGTCCGTCCTCTTCCTCCATAGTCACGTCCGTCCTCTTCCTCCATAGTCACGTCTGTCCTCTTCCTCCATAGTCACGTCCGTCCTCTCTCCTCCATAGTCACGTCTCCTTCCTCCATAGTCACGTCCGTCCATAGTCACGTCCGTCCTCTTCCTCCATAGTCACGTCCGTCTCTTCCTCCATAGTCACGTCCGTCCTCTTCCTCCATAGTCACGTCCGTCCTCTTCCTCTTCCTCCATAGTCACGTCCGTCCTCTTCCTCCATAGTCATGTCCGTCCTCTTCCTCCATAGTCACTGTGACGTCTTTTATCTCCAGCAGATGATGATACACACATATATAGTGTGGGAACCCAGATGAACCCCTTCAGGGGCAGAACATTCCCCCACTTCCGGGGCCGGAACATTCTCCTCATTGTGGAGATAAATTCTAGTAATATGGTCCTCTAAACAAACAGCACTGACAATAAATAGACAAGACAAGGACCATCCTGACCATACATGGCCTACAAAGGGCAATGATGACACTACACAGGCAGCCAATGGGCAATCATTACACTATGCAGCCAACACAATGATGGAGTGCCGGGGTCAGGAGTATGGAGCATAGAGCCCCTTACATTGCTGCTCAGGAGGAAGGAAAACATTCCCCAGCCGGCCATGAAGAATATGTTCCATCATTGGTGTCAGAGGGAGGGAAATACTGAGGGGTCTGAGGGAAGTAGAGGAGCTGAGGGGTCTCTGAGGAGGTAGTGGGACTAAAGACTCTGGATCCTCTGAGGGTTTCCTGCATCTGAAGGACTCTGGGACCTCTGAGGAGGAGGAGTAGCTGAAGAACTTTGGGAGCCTGTTAGGAGGTAATAGGGCTGAACAACTCTGAGAGGTTAGTGGGGCTGAAGGACTGTGGGGGCCTCTGAGGGGGTATTCAGGCTGCAAGGCTCTGAGGTAAGAGGGGGCTTTAGGGCTCATAGGAACTCTTGGTCTCTGATGGTCCTCCCACCCACCTTCACTTACTTTTCTGACCTCCTTAAAGATCTCCTGCCAGCACGTGTAGGAGTCTTCACCTCTCCATCTCACTGGTCAAGAATTATATTGCAAGACACAAAATAGAACAAAGAAGGACACTTGGTCCTTGGGGAGGTCTGTATGCATAGCATTAATGCTTAATGGGCGGACAGTCCAATACCTTCCCATACCACAGAATCTGGCAGTGCCCGGTACTAGAATTCAGAGCCAGAAAAATCCACTGCCACTCTGTACAATGTCCTGGAAATTTCAGAATACTTGGCAACTAAGAGATTAAACCCTTCCCCCTGCTGTCCTCCTCCTACCCACACATAGAAGAGATGAGAACAGACTCCTCCCCCACAGCTCTCTACTCCACCAGCACCATCCTCCTGCTACCCAATCCAATCCCTTCTCTTACTGCAAAGAGTGACAGTGACATCACTCCTGTCAGTCAGCAGGCTGCTGGAGATTGGAGCCTTGCAGCCGGAGTTCTGCCAATTATCCTGATTATCCAGCAATTCCAGCCAGCAAGTTCCCCTTCCTGGACATCATGATGAGCCGACATTGACCTCACAGCACTGCCTCAGAGCAAACAAGTCATAGGAAGGATCATATTTATCATTCCTTGTCTGCAGATCTAATACTCATCAAAACCAGTTCAGAGACCAAACAAACCCAACAGAGAAAAGGGGATTTCTGATGCAGCAGGTCAAGAGGGTCCCGGGACCTTGAAAATTTTGTAAACCCTAAACAGTCCAGACTAAATGTCTTCCCATGGGGGGAGTAGTTCTTCAATGTCCAGCAACCCTCCTATTCCCCCCTCACATCCACATCCTATTATTGTGTGACCAATACCATCCAAATCATTCTTACTTTCATTTCCCAAAGTTATCCGTCTACAAGGAGACCTGTATAGATCACATGATGGCACCAATGAGGATGGAGGAGGACCGGAGTCACATGACTGAGAAGATACTAAACCTCACCCTGGAGATCATCTACCTGCTGACCGGAGAGGTGAGGAGGATTCTGGGAGGTCACATGACATCACTCTTATCTCTATTAATAAAACACAGACCTGACCGGAGAGGTGAGGAGGATTCTGGGAGGTCACATGACATCACTCTTATCTCTATTAATAAAACACAGACCTGAGGAGAGGTGAGGGGATTCTGGGAGGTCACATGACATCACTCTTATCTCTATTAATAAAACACAGACCTGACCGGAGAGGTGAGGAGGATTGGGAGGTCACATGACATCACTCTCATCTCTATTAATAAAACACAGACCTGACCGGAGAGGTGAGGAGGATTCTGGGAGGTCACATGACATCACTCTCATCTCTATTAATAAAAACACAGACCTGACGGAGAGAGGTGAGGAGGATTCTGGGAGGTCACATGACGTCACTCTCTCATCTCTATTAATAAAACACAGACCTGACCGGAGAGGTGAGGAGGATTCTGGGAGTCTAACATGATATTCCTATTGGTTCCTCAATACAGAGATTTCCTCTTCTGAAGTCAGGTGATCATATGACCATCACAGTGCCTCCATGTGACTCCCTAAACCCTGAGAGACACAACATGCAGAAGATTCTAGAAGTCACCAAGAAGATGATGGAGCTGCTGACAGGAGAGGTGAGCGGTGCCGGGAATTCTGGGACATTCTCCAGTAACAGACAAGGGATGTGTCTGGATGGTGACTGTATCATTGTGTGTGTCAGGTTCCCTATAAGGTGTCAGGGTGTCACTGTCTATTTCTCCATGGAGGAGTGGGAGTATTTAGAAGGACACAAGGATCTCTACAAGGACGTCATGATGGACAATCAGCCGCCCCTCACATCACCGGGTAAGAGGAGACTTTATTGTAAAGGAGAGAGCAGTACGGAGGATCCACCTAGATCCCCCATCATCTGATAAACACATAGAAACAATGGATTCAGTCAGTGTGTGTGTTTCCTACAGATGGATCCAGTCATGGGAACCCACCAGAGAGATGTCCCCGTCCTCTGTATTCCCGGGATTCCACACAGGAAGGTCACACCATCCCTCACCATCATCAGGTAGATGATGACAATTATTGGTAGTTGTGATTTATACACAGCATGTTTGTTACAATGAATGTTTTATTATATCTTTCAGAGTGGAATCCTCGGGGATTGATAATATTGATGTTAAAGAAGAGTATAAAGAGGAGGATGAGGAGTATGGAGTGATGGAGGAGTTTTCAGAAGGACACAAGGATATGATGGAGCCACCTAATACCAGGAACCCACCAGAGAGATGTCCCCGTCCTCTGTATTCCCGGGACTCCACACAGGAAGGTCACACCATCCCTCACTATTACAAGGTTGGTTGGACTGAGCATCTAGAACATGGATTTGAGGAGATAATATGTGGATTTTTCATGTGAGCTTATTTTATATTTTTGGTGAAATTTCTCATTTTTTTGGTTTAGGGTGAAGATCTGATAGATATAAAATTTGAGGTGAAAGCAGAAGAAGAAGAGGCGTATGTGAGGGATGATCAGCAGTCTATGGAGGAGGATGGAATAACGGGGACATTTATAGAGGAGGACACTCCTACAGAGATCAGCACAGGTGGGTCATGAACACTAAATCCATTCCTCCACCCATACTGCTCACTGATTGGTCCAGAGTAGTCAACACTTGGCAATATCAGTCTGTAAGAAACAATTTATATATCATCTAGACTGGATTTTTGGAGATTCTGGGGTTCAGCTGGCAGAAAAATGTTGATTTTCACCATTAGCGTTAACCTAGGCACCTGGGACATGTACTTTGGGTCTTCGGCCCCATACCTGGTTCTATAAGATCTCTGACAGAACATTTCTCCCAGGGTTCCTTGCTCTGTGGTCTGCTGGCTGTGCCGGGTGGAGGGATATGTCTGTAGTGTCTAAGACCCAAGTCACTGAGTGCAGTCTCAGGAGATGGGAGGCAGCGGTGTGGGATCTCTGCAACTTGTCTACAGTAAACATTTAATCTTCCCCTGATTACTGAATACCAATATTATGAGTCCTGACCCTTACACTGTATAATTTATATTGTACATTACATACTCCTGACCCCTGCACTATACACTCTATGTTGTACATTACATACTCCTGACTTCAGGATCAGTCCAGTCTTCTGTATACCTATCCTGTTTGTTGGTCTTCCTATAAATTAATCTTGGTTGCTCTCTCCCCCATCCTCACTCTCTGACCTCTGGTGGGGCTCAGCCCCGCTGTTCTTCATGACTAAATCATGGACTAAATAAGGAAGTGCAGTACTTTCTTGTGTTGGGAAGATGGTGATGAGTGATAGAGGGGGTGGGGACCCTCGTCCTATAATCCCCTCATCACTGTCCCTCCTATAAAAGACAGTTCTGGTTGTTTCCTCACTCTCTGACTAAGGTCCATGAATAAAGAAATGACCTGGTAGGAGATCAGAGGAGCCATTTCCTAGTTCCCTTGAGGGTGGAATTGTAAGCTCCTCAGAGCCCAAGCTGCCTGATGTGGGCGGAGTCCTGGTTTGGGGGAACCAATCAGCTCCTGTCTAGTAATCCTCTTTGTCTTTGTATTTTAGTCCATGGCCGGGAGATGAGGAAAACCTCCGAGGATTGTCTCACTTTGTCTCCAGACTGGAAAGTAGAAGATGAGGACATCACACAGTATAGTCCAGGAGAAAACCCGGCTCCCTCCAATGTCCATCCGGCACCACCCAGTGTAGATGGACCATCGGATTCCGCGTATCCTGAGGAACCTCAGACTGTGTGGGACCGGGTCTGCTTTCCAACAAGGAAGATCTTTTCCTGTACTGAGTGCGGGAAGCGTTTCCATTTTAAATCCCACCTAACTAGACATAAAAGATCTCACACGGGAGAAAAACCATATTCCTGTCCTGAGTGCGGGATGTTTTTCACAGACATCCAATTTTTACAGACATCAGAGATCACACATGGGGGAGAAGCCACTTTCCTGTCTTGAGTGCGGGAAATGTTTTTCACAGTTGTCTAGTTTGTACAGGCATCAGAGATCTCACACGGGAGAGAAGCCACTTTCCTGTCCTGAGTGTGGAAAATGTTTTGCAACAAAAACAGATATTGTCAATCATCAGAGGTCTCACACGGGGGAGAAGCCTTATTGCTGTCCTGAGTGCGGGAAATGTTTTTCACAGAAGTCTCATCTTTACACACATCAGAGATCTCACACGGGGGAAAAACCATATTTCCTGTCCTGAGTGCGGGAAATGTTTTTCAGAGAAGTCCAGTCTTGACAAACATCAGAGATCTCACACTGGGGAGAAGCCATATTCCTGTTCTGTGTGTGGGAAATGTTTTTCAGTGAAATGCAGCCTTTCCAAACATCAGAGATTGCACATGAGGGAGAAGCCACGTTCCTGTCCTGAGTGAGAGAAATGTTCGTCACTGAAGTCCTGTCTTCCTGTACATCAGGGGTCCCACACAACCCTGGAGGTGTATTAGTGCCTTGAGTGGGAAATGTCTTCTAGGTGAATGTTGCTGGACATCCCAGCTCTCATGTGGGGAAGAAGCACACCCTGATATACACCTCAGATATACTCCATGGCTGATGTTCATCATGGAAGGAACAGTTCATAAGGAGATCAGAGGTCCCCAAAGACATGGATGAAGTGTGGGACCGGGTTGGCAATTGATAGCAGCAGAAGAATAAAAATGGAGTCCTGCCCTGTCATTGGTTGAGTACATTTTGTGGTGGGAGATTTCACAAACACTTGGAGGTCTATGTTTGTAATTGTAGAATGAATATGACACACATTTACCTAGGCATGATGAATATTGGCCGTATTTCATTTCATATAGTGATTTCCTATGATCATCAGCTCCATCTAGTGGCAATACTGAGGCACTGTGGTACTATTACTACATTATGGCCAGCAGATGGAGCTACACTCTTGCATTGTTCGGTGCCTTCTGGACTGCTGGAGGTCTATATAGTGGAAGTGGTGCTCAGGGTGGCCCAGGGGACTTTTGGCATCAACTGGGAGGAGTCAGTGTCCTTTCTCTCCCCCCCACTCTAAGTGTTGAGCCTCGTCTGTGCATGTGCAGTGTGGCGGGTGGACGTCAGGAGTGAGGCACTGCCTGTGTCCATGTCAGGTGGCTCAGCAACATGCAGAGTATTCATGGAGAGTCTCAGTGCTGTAAGCAGCTGGCAGTGTTCTCCCTCACAGACACCCCAGATGTACATGGTTGCAGCCTGGAAGACTCCTACTGGTAGACACAATGACTGGCCACAAGAGGTACCTGGGGCAACACATGCATACTCCTTACTGATGGGGGCAGCGGTGAGCACTGACAGGCTGGGTGGGTGATCACCTGGGGTAACCAGTGCACAGAGACCCCTCAGCTGACCAGGATCACTCTATCATCAGTCCCACTATATGGGGCCACAGGCCTTATGCCTACTAGAGGGCAGAGAGGTGGGGCCAATGTCTTTTGGGGCTCTGATCACCTCTAGGGTATCACTGCTACCTCTAGGGGCCCCTTTCCTCCGATTCTGATGTGATTATGGAGGAATCTGCTTTCCTTGGCATCACAAATACAGGTCTGTACCTCACGCTTCGTGTATAAGGAAGAAGTAAATATGAATCCTATCACATGAGAAGCTGCACACCAAGAAGGGTTCAAATACACAAACCGTTAACAAATAATCAATTCATTAAATTGTGCAAAACAGCAAGAAATGAAAAGTCTAAATATATCTAAAACCCTATAAGAACCTGAGTCACACATAATGGGAAAACCCCATATAGACTGAATGAAAATGATCAACAAATAATAAATTCATATATGAGTGATCAACTAGGATTGCAGAGAGAGAGCAACACGGAGGCGGACACAAAACCCACAAACGGGGATTACTGGGAACGTGGGGCACACAATACGGGGACAGGACAACGGCACAACAAAATAATCCACCGGTTCAAGTATTTTACTAAACCTTAATTATAAATCATCATATATGGGCGCAACCAACAACTCTATACTGGGCGAGGTACGTGTCCCCTACACTACCAATCACCAATAAGACATAGAAAAAAAATGGAACCTTTATTAACTGATCGAGGAATCTAAAAAGTTTTGTTTTTGAACTGACCCCATAAAATGCTAATAATCTGGTATGAACTATAAACAAAGTCTAAAAAAGAGTGAGGTAATTAAGGCTGTGTGCCATGGACATTTTGTGGATGGAAAACAAGTACACATCCCATATTATTGTAATGTTGTTTTTCCATCCTCAAGATGGTACCAAAAACATATGAAATGGCAAGTACAAAGTTTAGAAGCCTGACAACGCGTGTGCGATAAACAGATGTACACACTGTGATGTCACAACGCACGCACTATGGCACCATTTTGATGGCCAATACTTCTATATATATGGTTAAAACACACAATTAGTAGCCATTTCTTGCTGTGATATTGGAGTACAGTTTCTTACCACCTACCTGATTCGGATTTTAATTCTCCATACTCCTGACAAAGCTCTGTAGTTAGACGCAAAAAGTAAAAAAATTCTCATTCCTTTTTTGAGGGGGGTCGTGTGGGAGAACGTTTTCAATGCAAACATGGTACTTTACATCCCCTTTTAGGGGTATTGCACTAGTCGCAGTTAGTGTCATTCTTTGCATTCCTCAAGAATACTGAGGTATTTTGACACTGGATATGGTGATGCTATAAAAATGCTTCCATATAGAAGCTGGTATATGAAGCCACCTGAGATGAGTGTACCCGTATTACATATCTGTAGTGAGATAGATCATATAACCAAGTGAGTTCTTTCCTGGGGGAACTTCATTTCTATAGTGGAGAGAATATAGCATCCTTCCTGATGGTATTATGAAATATCACCACAATTGCTTTTAGCCACACCATGGTCATCCAACAATACTCATGTAATCTAACTTGGCTTGGTGCTGACCACCCATATGGTTGCAAGGGAGGGGTCCTACTGCTAAATAATTGTCATGAATTCAGTTATGAGATTGGAGCGCAGTGCATTCCAGTTTTAGAAGTTTTGAATGAAAT